TGTGACTTGCTGATCAAGCCCACCCCCAAGCATCCATCACCTGCACAAGGCAACAACGCCATGGTTGCCAACCTCAAGGCGGCAGCGCCATGGTCCCGCTCCAGCCCCTCTCGCGTTCAGCTTACAACCCCACATGGCACCACCCCCTTCAACACCTTCCTCGCCTTTTCAACCGCGTCTTGCCTTCTTCCACACACGCGATTTTTGTTGTTTCACATGTCAATCCCCCCACACCCTCGCCGCGCCGCGCCGCGCCGACTTTTTTTTTTTTTTTTTTTTTTTTTTTTTTTTTTTTTGGCCTTCTGATACGGTGCCAATCTATGGCGCTTTCTTTCTCCCCCGCATCTCGCTTTGTGTCATTCGGCCCATTCAGTCCATTCATTCAGAGAACTCTGCCGTCGACATTCCCGACGCATGCCATCATTCACCCTCATCCACGCTTTCCTCCCCCTTCCCTAGACATTTGGTGGCCCACATCACCTCCGCCAAACCCACCAAACTCGGGCAACCATACGTTGCAGGGCCCTCGTGGCCCACTCTTGCAACGCTATTGGTTGCCTGTGTGAAAGGTTGCTTCTCCTCAATTATCCCGGACGAGCACCTCCCAAAGGCCATGAGCCGCGTGATTCGGCGCGCCATGCCCCCAACCGATAACATGTCGATTGAACACCTTCTTGTACGACCCCGCCTCCCCGGCTCATCCGCCCCGTGCTCCTACAAATGTGTCCTTGCTCAATGCCTCATCAATGCTTGAAAATCGCATACTGATGTGGGTCCATTTGTTGCCATCTCTCAGAAAGAACCGGTGGCAGCGCCACGGGAACGTCGCCGTTCCCTGCCCAATGTCGCCATCCCCGCCAGCTATCACGTGCCCAAAGGTACCATCCTGCCTCGACGTGAGACTCCAGCTTCACGCTGAACCACTTTTGCTCACCAATGCCACGTCGCCACCTCTTGCCCTCTCATGCAACAGAGCGATCGCCTCTCGCCTCAAAATCGAGCGTGCACATGCATCGAGCCTCTAGCGATGCTGGCGACGCCCTCAAATCTCGCTCCGTCGTAGATGTTGCCAGCTATCATCGCAGTGAACAGCGCCGCCGCCGCTCCAGTCATAGCCGCAACTACTCGGGCTCTGATTTCGATTTTTTGCGTGGTGAAGAGACTTCGCTCTCTCGCCTCAGTGATGCTGGATATTCTCTATCACACGGCGATCTGTCCAGAATCAACGGTGGAGGTGGCTCCAACATGGTGCCGAGCACCGGCACCTCCCCCACCACCAGTCGCCTCGCTCGTCCCGGCATTTCTCATGGCAGCCGTCGTCGCAGCGACAGGTACCTCAACCGCCAAGCACCATTCGTGATGTGATCCTTGCGCCTCGATAGCTCATCCTCCTGCCCTGCTTGTTTGCTCTGACCATCCTGCCAAGTCGCTCCCTTCTTGAGCTTGCCCAATCGCGCGAGTCGGTTCACCAGATATCCAAAGATGCCCTGGTGCGCCGCGCCCCCCTTTGCACATACACTCGCGTGTCCGGATGTTTGCATGCTTGAGCACCCTGCTTCAAGACCTCGTCTTACCACCTGTAATGGTCGGTTGCCGAATTGCCTCTTGTCTCCTCGCCTTCCAGATGGGTGTGGCTGCCGCAGCGCAGCGACGACGCTCCTCACTACCTGCCCTCGACAACTGCACGGTATACGTGGATATTGAAGGTGTGCTCATCAACATCGAACGAGATGACCATCCTTGCCGCTCGGACAGACTCTCATCACTTGGTATGCTCCCTTTAAAGACGCCGAGGGGGGCATCATGGGCCTGGATGAACGAGGCTCCAAGCATTTTGCCACCTTGCCGGACGTGCCTGGCACACAACGCCAAAAGGTTTGTCTTATTTTTTCCGTGGGGTTGTTTGTTTTTTCGTGTTTTTTTTCCCTTGTTTTGCGGATGACGCTTTCGGCTCGTAATGCTTCTTTTGCTCACCCCTGGCGTATGCACAATGCAACAATGCATCATTTTCCAATTTTGACGCACCACGCCTCAGGAACAAGTTCCGCCCTCAATGCGACGAAGCTCTTTAGTCATCCCACCCATTGGCGAGCCTGCGCAACTTGGATCTGATTCCGAGCCCCAAAACTTTAGTGACGAGTCTGATTCAGCAGACGATCTTTCGTACATCGACGCGGAGCAATCTTTCGACGAGTATAGTGACGATGAGGACCGTGACCGCGATGCTGTCGATTCGTGCGAAGTTTCGGGCATCGGCATGGACGGTGTTGACGATACTCTGCTGGGTACCGATTTTGATAACCAAGTGAACCTCAACCCTGACCTTATCACCTTTGGCCAAGACTCGCTCGACGGCCCCAGTCCCACTCAACTGCTGGGCTCTGGGGGCCCATCGTTTGGCCGTGAGTGTTTGCACGTTGATCTTCTCGTCCGTTTGCCATGGCAGTGGTTGGAGCCCGATTTTTTCACTCACTGGAGACTGCCCCTTGATAGACATGCAGCCCTCTCCGCCAGCCCCGCGCAGCCCAGAAATGGCTACGGTGAGCCTTTCAGATTCCTTGCATTCGCACACAGTTGGCCTCGCGACCACTTTGACCCGACTCACGCCCGTGCCCTGCTCTTGTGTGCTCCGCCAAGCAGCGGAGACGCCATTCTTTATCCCCGCGCTCCCCACGCTCCCCCATGCTACCTCGTGTGCCTAGTGGCGAAACGCTTGATCTCCAATAAACGTCGCCCGAACGCCGTAGCCCCCTAGCCCCCTGTTGCCTTTCGTCAAGCCACGTCATTGCTGCCACGTTTTCCGCCTCTGCGACCGAGTCGCTGCTTCTAGACCCTCGATGCCTTTCTTCATCCCTCGTCCCCACGGGCAATCTGAACAGTTTTTTATTTTTTTTCTTTTCCAATTTTGTAGTCCATATTTTTTGCCCCCAGGCGTTCTCCTTCTTGCCTGGTTTTCACCCTTCTGTCCCTGTTTATGACCTGAATAATGGCGTCTTGCTCATGATTTGTGTTTTTTGCTTGTGCGTGTGGGGGTGTGTGTTGATATCTATGTACATCATTCATTATGGGGTTTGTTGATTTCTTATGTCCATTATTACTAGTCTATCGTGTGCTTCGGGTGCAAAGAGCGGTGCAAAGCACCCATTGTCTTGGGCTTGCTTTGGCGCTGATGTCCGTCGCAAGCTTGACTCACATGTCAACCTCTTGCACTGCGTCTATTCAATTGTTGTGCCGCGCTGTCCATGTTATTATTTTGTCCATGTTGACCTTGTTCACTGCTATTCATTATCGTGTTTAATCAGGAAGCCCTTGGGAGCAACATGCGCAACGAGCCCTCGGGGACTCGGCAAATGTTTCAACCCTTGCCCGGCTTCGCCCTCGGGCTTTCAGGCAATTGACCGGAACTTCTTTTGGTCTTTCAATTCTCTTCGCATTTGGGGATTACTGCATTCTTGTCAAGCATGCGTAACTTCATTCGAGCACACAATGCAATCATGTCGATCGAACAATTATTACTTTTGCGACTTGCGGCGACCACTCCTGCCACGCCAGGAGCCACGACCTCGGCGACCCTTGCCACCCGAACCAGTTCGCCCACGGGCGCTGCGGCTTCCGCCACTGGGCCCACCCTTCTTGCCGCTGGATTGCTGGCCATGCTGTCGGGTGGTTTTCTGCATCAACGCCCTACACAAAGCAACGCACACGTGGATTGAGAATTGCACCTTGGTCAAATGTCAGGGTGCAAAGAGCAGCTCGAACAACAAGCCGGGCACAGTCACCGCTCTGTGGTGCACAGCAGGAACGAGCAATAATGTGGCTGACGTACTCGATGCTACTGTCTGGAGCTTGCCGCTCCTGAGGCCGGGCATGAGCCGGAACGCTGTAGCGCAGAGGTGAGCTTAATATGGCATCCTCGTCGAAGGAGGGTGGGGCATGGGAGGTTAGATTGTGACCATCATCGACTGCGCTGGCGGCTCTGCCCTCCACTTGGGGCCAACTTGATGCGTGCTGTGCTTGGCGCGTGCTTTGCATCAAGAGCGGACCGGCACGAGCGGGCTTGGAGGAAGCGGGCTTGGAGGAGGCAAACTGCAGCTTGGGCTGGGAGGACGAGGGTGGTGGTGGGCTCGAGCGACGTTGAAACCGAGCAGGCAACGATGGCCGCTCACGTGCCTGTTTATGAAGCGTCGGCGCGGACGACCGCGTCCAGAGGACCGCAGGTGAGGATTGAACATGCGTTGTGACATCGGACGACGCAGCAAGGGGGGCTCGAGTGCGCGGTGGCTGCTCGAGTTGCTGTGAGGTTCTGACGCGTGCCGTGTCCCCGATAGACGAAAAAAGGCGGTTTGATTTGGGTCGGTGCCGGGACTGAAGCATCGCTTGCTTTTCCTCTGCCTCTTCCTCGTCCAGATGTATGACATGCACGGGCGGTGCCTCAGCACGCGTGTTTGCCTGGACGTGAGTGGAAGCACCAGAGGAAGTCCGCTTTGGATGCACGCCATTGCTCGTGGGCAACGTGTGTGGGGCCACTTCGTCGCCGTCGCTTTCTATCGAGTCGTGCTCTGCCTCAATCGGCCGAGTCGCAGCCGCTCGCTAAATAAATGTATGCACATTGTTAGGTGAGGGCAAGCAAGCGCAGGCCTCAGGCCGCGCCAAGATGCCCTGACTCTCGAGCAATGCAAGTGGGCACAAACTCACTTTGGTGCGAAGGGGCGAGTGGCCGATCGTGGGCCGCTTGGCGGGCGAACGGACGGCAAGACGATCGGGACTGACCACGGTTGACGAGGCTCGTGAACCCGATTTGCCACGACGCCGGCTGGCGCGAGATCGGTGCGCAAAATCTGGTTCGGAGGAGCCTAGCGGGGTGTCGGGCACCACGATCGTTTCCTGAGCGCGCGGAGTGGACGGTGAGATTGTGACGGGTGTTTGCTCGCGATGGTCCTGGTGGGGAGGCGGCTGGCGACGCTTCCATATTGGCTCTGAAACCATGGTCCTTGAGGCACTGGAAGTGCCGATTTGACTGCTTGGCTTTGGCGAAGACCTGGTGATAGGCAACTGTTCACCCGGCGCTGCGCTATCAACGTCCTCGGCTAGGGTATCACGTGCTAGAGAAAGGTCGGCAACACCCACCACAGCTTGCCGCGGAGGTGCCAGAGTAGTTTCGTCCTCAGAATCGGATGAAGAACAAAATAAGGTGTCAGGGATGCATGTTTCAGTCGCAACTACCCGGTGACGTGCCGGAGTTTCGACTGCCAGTACCTCGGTACCCAAATTGCGTTGACGTTGCCGCAATGCGGTGGCGCTCGCGTGACGTGGCTGCCAGTCCTCATCAGAGTCACTCGGGTCATCCTTTTCTAATGGTGTCGAAACAGCTCTACGAGGCTGGCGCTGCTGGCTGGTTGAGCGTGGTCTTGATTCGCTCTTTCTATCGACTGTGTCCGGGCTGGCGGCAAGGGTGGCACCAGCCAGCACATCACTGGGGGTGGAAGTTGACTGCGGAGTAACGATATGTGGCGAGTCCAGTGTTGCCTCGTGGGCTTTGGGAGACAACAAAGTGTCTGGTACGATGGTCTCGGAGGCATGGCCTACACGTGAGCCCAGATGTTTGCTGTCATGTAGTTCAGTTGGACTCGCCAGAGTATCGGGCACTTGGCTTGGGCTATACTTTGGTACGGCTGAAGGGCAAGTGCGAGCAGTGGGCGTTGAATCGCAACTCTGACCGGCCTCGCTGTACTTGAGACTGGTTCGCTGTGGTCGGCTGAGTGACGTGGGTGTCACGAGGGTTTCCGAAGCAAGAACATCAACGCCATCCAGCGGCATGGGAGGCAAGGTGTTCAGATACGGAAGCGGGGAGCCGGGATCGGGTCTGAATTCAGCTGCGGCTGCGGCTGCGGCTGCGGCTGGACTGAGACAAGCAGCCAACTTTTCAACAAGACGCTCGTCTGACAGACCGTGCTGCCGGCCCTCGGTTCGCACCTGGTGCACGCCCTGGTTTGGCAATTGAAATGGAGCCCGTGCATGCATGGGTGCAAAATTAGGGAACGACCGTACGGCCCAGGTTCGATCTGGGATGGGAAGGTGGTCAGCACATCTGTGCCGAGACGCTTGCTGCGCCCCACGCTGACTGATGGCTCGTCTTTGGTCGCCGCGTTTGGCAGAAAGTGACTTGTTAGACCGCGAGGGGCTACCGAGGGATGTTTTGCTTTTCTGGACGCGAGGTGAAGTCAAAGCTGAACGCGGTGAGGCCAGCCTGGAATGCGCGCCAGTGCCAGAATTGACCAAGCTTCGGCTACGCCGCGGGCTGTGGGGGGTAGAGGCCTGTGGTAAACTGGAGCGCACGTCCCCCTCCACGTGGTCGGGGAGGCGGGTGGGGTGAGCAGACACCCGATCAGGTCCATCTGCAGCAGTGAGAAAGAAGTCACCCGCATCCTCATCGCTCTCCTCATCTCTGACAGACATGGCATTCGTGGTAAGAGTGAGCATTCGCGGGTGCTCGTCTACGGGCCATCGGCCGTGGCGAGAGCTACAGCAAGAGTTGTCATCTGATCGCGCTCAGCAATGATTTCCTTAAACATCTTACCCGCGGAATTCCTTCCGACGCCGCGAAGGCGGAGCGAGCTCAAGGTCCTCCGAGTCATCCAGTGACATCAGACGCTTGTCCCTGGCCGCTGCATTGGAGCGGCGGCGCTGAAGGTACTTGTCCATGACAGAAGCTCGGTACGCCGAGGGTCACGACCACGACAAGGCCACAGCCCGAGAGCCTTTGAGTCACACGCTTTTCTGCGCGGCTGGAAGCGCGGTGAAAAGGTTCAGAGCCTCACCTCATGACAACCACACACACACACACACACACACACACACACACACACACACACACACACACACACACGCAAGCACGCGCACATACACGCCCATGGAGACCGGACAGAGACGGCGACGCGGACGGAGCCGGAGGGCGAGACAGATGCGGCGGGACGTTTGAGTCAATGGCGCAACAGCTGCACTGCTTTTAACAGGATGGTTTGTAACGGCTCAAAACCGCAACAAAATTCATTCTGACATTTCAAATAATTTTTGTTCACATCCTTCCTCTCTCTACTGATGACGGAAAGCAACCCAGGCAGATCGGGGTCAAGAAAAGGGTGCGCTTTGCTTTTGGGGTTCTATTTGGTACGTTTGATCGTTTTGTGTTTCGTAGGGGGATGATCCAAGTTATGTCAAGGCAAACACGAGCTCACGGGTTCAAGAGTCGAGCTCAGAGCGAAAAGGAGGGCCGTAGAAGGCCGGAAGAATGGGGTCGAAACCGCGCTAACGCGCCCAGCCCAGGCCCAAAGTAGGGAAAAGGTTGGAGCGCCAAAGAGGGAACAAAAGGCTCTGAAGATTTACAGAGACTCGCGGAGGAGAGAGCTGTACTTCTGGACCTTGCTGCGGACCGAGAGGTCGATGTGCTTCTCTCCGACGTCCACAACAAAGCCACCAACGAGGGAAGGCTCCGTCTCGTAAGTGACGGACACCTTTTGCGAGGAAGGAACGAAGCTGGAGAGCGCCGCCTCAATGCTCTTCTTCTGCGCAGGCTTGAGGTCCGAGGCCGAGGTCACCTTGCAGGTCACCTCACCGCGGGTGGCCTTCATCAGTGTCTTGTAAGCATCAATCACACCACCCGTCTCGGCCAGGCGGTTGTTCTCAGCAAGAGCACCTAACACACCACGAAAACAGATGAGCATCAGGCAACAGCCCCTTGATGATGCAGGTCGTAATCTACAGCTACCCCATCCTAGGCTTGTCTTTGCGGAGCGCACGGTCTGACACACCAAAAAAGTTGATGGTAGTTTCGGAGAACTTCTGGCTCTTCATCACTTCCTGGACGATATCTGTAAGAACCAAGCCGAGGCAGTAGGGGGGACAGAGAAGAAGATCAGCAAGAGTCGGCAAATTGCATGATTCTCAAGTTTGGACGCCAGTACATGAACATCTCGCTGCAGGCACTGGCGTACCAGACTTCTCAGCACGGCTCAGGACAGGGTTCTTGAGGAAATCAGCAAAGTCGGCGTTCGTGCCCATCAACGTCTGCTCATGATGGAAAACGGGAAAAAAAAGCACCAGAATGATGAGCCATCGAAATGGATGGCAGAGGCTGTGTAGAGCAGACGTGCCCCCAAGATGGCGGGCGAAGGCGTCTGCATACCTTGACGGCATCGAGCTCCTTCTCGACGTTGTCAAGGGCCTTCTTCTGCGAAGCAGCGCTGTACAGGGCATGGGCGTAGCGACCCTCAATGCCGAAGAGCTGGACGGGAGCCTGTGGCCGGACAAGAGACAGTCACGCCAGTCAGGGGCCTCGGCGATATCCAGAAGCCACGAACAAGGCGGAAACGCTAGTCGGAATAACCGGCGACAAGGCAGCACACAACACAACGATCATAACCCAAGGATCAGGCCTCGCACCTCAGCCGAACGGAGCGCGGTGGTGCTCAGAGCACGAGCCTGCGCGAGAAGAGCCATGATACCGAGTGGCAAGCGAGAAAAGAGACAGGAGCGACAGGGCCAAAGCCGAATGAGTTGAAACTCCTAAACCCATGTTTGATAAAGGCTCGGTATTGATGCACTGCACATGGTAAAGGAGTGATGCACGAAGGTTGGGTTCTGCTGCCTGGAGCAAGGATGTGCTCGTCCCAAAGCAACAGGTCGCTGCCGGGGATGGCAGTGGGAAAGCCTAACCCGCCGCCCTCGTGCTCCCACCCAGCCGTGCTGAAACGGCTGTGCTTCATCCCCATAATTGCAAGCTCACACTATCCCACAACCTCTCCCTTGATAGATGGCACCACCAGACCGAGCCTGCCTCCAAGAGCGCATGTGATGCCTCTCCTGGCCGAGCTGAGCGAGGAACGTACGGTCACGGCCGCGGAACGGGCGACTTGGCGGAACATGGTGGCTGTTGCTTGGTGGGTCTGACGGCGGGAAAATAACAGCGTGTTTTGTATTACTTTGTACGGAAAAATAGTGAAATAGCTTTTGTGTTACATGTAACACGTTCAATTCACGTGTGGAATTGGTTATGCTCACTTGTTTCGTTTATGGTGGAGGCGGGCAAGTGTGGCCTTGAAGGTGGTCGAGCACGCAGAGGAGAGCCGCCATGTGATGGTCAGACACGGAGTCTCATTCCCGAGGCAATCGGCTATGAAGTTGGGAGATGCTATCGATGGGGTCAACGCACAGCCAGAGGAATGAATAAAATGCAGGGTCGGGTGAATGAGTGGATGGAGCACAAGAAGACTCGCCGCCATAGGACCAGACCTGGGCAATGAAGGTGGCCAAGCGCCGGAGCTCGGCCGGGCCACCGATGTTATGGAGTCCGTCGTGGGGATCGTGGACGACGGTACATCCTACACGTGCCAATTTGTCAAGCCATTGGTGAGAATGGTTTTCTGGTCAACGACGAGGCGTCATCGAGGGGTGAGCTGAATTAGAACACACCTCCGGCCCGCAACAGGTCTCGCAGCCATTCGCTACCGTTGAAGGGCAGCACAAAGTCCTTGCGTCCGTGGGACTGCATCGGCAAGGCACTCGCCAAGATTGTAAGGGCACGAGGCGGACCACGACAGCTAACTTGGTTGCAGATCGCTGCCTCGATGCAACTCGAATGTTGCCCCGCTGGCGTGAAACACAGCAGCGATGGATGGGAAAGAAGAGCAAAGCACAAGCTACCTACAATGTACGCGTGCAGGCGACCGCCATGGCGATCGACCTGGCGGCGCCACTCCTCCACCGTCTGGGGGAAACCTACAGAACAAAACTTGTTAGTTTGGTGCGGGTGACACGCGCCATTGAGCATGCTTTTGCACACGAACCAGAAAGAACGAGAAGAGCCGCTGGTGGTTGTGGCAGGTGCAGAGCAACATCAATGGCCAAGATGGCGCCCTGACTAAAGCCCCCAAGAAAGATTTGGGAGTAATCGTAACCATAGGAACGACACAGCGTGTCCACCAGGGCCGTGATGCGACCCCGTGCTTCGGGCAAGCCTGCGAAACGCTCGACGAATCAGAGAAAACCATCCGACGACGCCAAACCAATCCACTTTGAACCGCGATGACTGGTGCGTACCAGACACGGGGCGGCGGATGAGTTCGGCTAAACCATCCTGAGAAAACGCTTTGCTCTGAACCCCGGCGTCACGAGATTGTGTGAATAAGCACATGCGATCCAAACGTGGCATGGGCTCGATGCACACGTGATTGGCCATGCTAGGTCTGAAGCGCGCGCGCACACACACACACACACCTGGAGCTCCATGACGTTCAGTGGCCACCACGCATTCATGGCCGGGGCCTGTGGACAGCAGAACCAAATCTGCGTTCCAAGGGTACATGGGCAGCGAGATGGCAAGAGGATGGGCAAAGCTGAGAGGCAAGAGCATCCCCGGAGCGTCATCCAGACGCCATGCGCCGGGGAAATCAAAGCAGATGCTGCTTCCAGTGATGTGACAACAAACGCCAGACAACAAACGGCACTTTTCCCGACACGCGTACCGAGCGTGCAGCCAGCGCGGGATTGGCCTGCGCCAGAGAGTGTCCGAGGGCCGTAAACTCGCTCGAGCTCGCACCATAGCCGTGCATCAGAACAACGACGGCCTCGGGCTTGACTCGACCTATAGTCCCACAAGCAAAGCAAGCCAACGCCCACCACGGGCAATCACAGTCAAGGTGAGGCCCACCAAGGCTGGCGCCATCCATGGCAGGAGGTGGGGCGACCTCTGGCAATCACCTACTGCGGCGAGTGGCAAAGTTGGCGCACTGCAAACCCGCAAGATTTGTGTGCTCCTCGAGCCACGCTGCTGGAACTGGTGCATCCTCCTGGGTAGAACCGCCTGTCGATGATGAGGTTTTGGGCGCGCAGGCCGCCGCCTCACGCCGCCATGCCCGAAACTTGGCTTCAAAATCAGCCCGCTCCAAGCATCCAGCCGTGTTCACACCGGCCCCCTGATCATAGCGCAGGCATGCGTGAGTTCATCCGTGCCCAAGAACAGCTTGGCTCTTCCACGCCCCTTATCCAAGTGCACGCACCCGTAGCTGGCTCCTGAGCTCCTTGGTCGACAACGCCGCCAGCTCCGCCTCCACCGCCTCCGCCATGCTGACAATTCCAATGTCTGACACTGCAAGAAGTTCAATAAAATGATCTAGAAGTAACGCTGCGCTTACTAACAAAACTGCAACAACTTCACTTTTTACTACATTGCCTTACAAGCAGTGGATCTCTCACTCCGCCTAGTGGGTGCGTCACGCGTCATGTCGGCGGTTGGACGCAGCAGAGTCTTGGGGCGGACCGTGCTTCAGCGGGGGCTGCATTCGAGCAAGATGCGTCAAGCAGCGCCTGCTGGAGATGCAGCCGCGGTCAAGTCAAAATTGCCCAAGTCATGTGTTGCTGGGATCATCTTTAATCTCGACTCGGCGGACCGCGCCAACCCAGAGCTGTTGTTGATTCAACGCGGCAAGGCCCCCAATCGAGGTGCGTAGCGCCTGGCCTTTGGCGCGCGACGCCGCCAAATAAAATAGAGTTGCTGCTCGATGTGGCACCCTCATCGCTTGCTGTTCACCCTTGGGGCTTGACTTGCGGCCCTGTGCTACCTGGCCCAAACATGATACGTCTACAGGCGAGTGGACCTTCCCAGGCGGCCACCTGGAACTTGGCGAGACCATGGCGCAGGGTGTGCGCCGCGAGGTACAGGAAGAGACGGGCCTTGAAGTCACATCCGTGGGCCCCGTGGCCACGGCCGTCGACGTCATCACACACCAGCCCAACGGCGAGGTGGCGTTTCACTTCACCGTCATCGATCTGTATGGTTTTGCCCGTGGTACTCCGCGAGCCAGCGACGATGCTTTGGCCGCCAGCTGGCTACCAATCCGAGATTGCCTCACGCGAGTCCCTTGCCACCGAGATCTCGAGCCCGTGCTCAAGCTTGTAACAGACGCCCTGACCGCAGAACGCATCGCATGGCCGGATGCGTAATCTTTTTTTGTTGGTGTGGCGCTTCTGCAGCGCGCTTCAGTTGGGCATGACGTGTTGGAGTGATACCCATGTTGTGGTCATTCAGGAAAGAAAAAAAATATGAAATAAGAAAAACAAAGGACGGGAGTGCATGGAAGAGTAGATCGAAGTAATCGAATAGACTGTTCGCGCAGCGAATCAATTGAGAGCCCGAGGCCTCCTCGTCCAGTCATGACACGGCTTTTATTGGGGTTCTTGCTTCTGTCCCCTTCCTCTTGAACATGCGTGAAACGGTTTTTACAATAAGCATACAGCAAGCAGACAGGCGCATGCGAGCAATCAAACGGCGGCCATGGGTCGAGATGCAACACCATGCAAAACAGCGCTGCAGGTAAGAAGTGCTCCTTGATCGTCCAGGGACAAGCCACATTTGATGGCTGATGGTATCGGCAGCTCCCGTGCAAGTGTGAGAAGGTTGGGCATGCTTTCCCGGTGCTGCAGCTGCTCCAGGTGGCCAGCACGCCAGGACCAGGCAGCAGCCTGTTGCAGCGAAGGCAATGAGTCACATGCGTCATTGATCATGCCCAGAAGGGCGGTTATGCCGCTACGCGTCACTGCCGACAGCGCGGGCAGCGGCTGAGCCAACAAGCCCAGACCCTGGACGAGGTGGTGGTGTGTCGAAGCAAATTCCTCGAGGCCCGCCAGCGTCCAGCTGCGCACTTCGGCCGCTGCTGCTTTAGCCAACTGGTCCAGCGTGAGGCGCCGGCGGGCCGCGACGCGTGGACGCAACAATGAGGCTAGCGCCGTGTGCAAGAAGGCTTCGCGGTGATCTCGCAGCACGCGGCGCTCGTGTGGGCCCAAGAGGCCCATGGCAATCATGAAAGCAGCGTGCGGGGCGGGGTATGCATTGTTAAGCAAAGCTCGGGTGCACGTTTTGCGCAGCGCATCCGAGATGTGCGCCCGAGCGTTAATCAGCTGCACGAGCACATGGGCCGCTGCCTCCATGTCCTGCGGTGCACGGCAACGCAGCGTCCAGCCGACGCGTGCCTCCTGCACGCAGTTGTTAATGGCCCAGTCCAGATCCAGGCGTGCACCGCTGTCACAGCGAGCGCCGGCCGCCAGCAGACGCAGGACCAGGTCGCGATGGCCGTGGCGACAGGCCGTGTTGAGGGCCGTCTGGCCATCATGATCGGTTTGATCAAGCATGACCTTGCGCGCAAGCAAGGCATCCAGCATTTCAACCTGCCGCAAAAAAAAGTACATGCATGGTGGCGATTTGAGTCATCACCGCCCTGTCCTGGGTTTAGGTAGGGAGGCGGGTGGGTGGGGCATGAGAAGATGGGTAGCAAACGCACCGACTGGCAGGCATGTAGAGACGTGGCGCCGGCCGAACTGCTTTCTTGCAAGAGATGCACCGAAGACTCGGCAATCAGAAAGACCTAAGCCGGTATCACAGTGTCAAAACGCAACGGTAAGCGGGCTGACCAAGCGACGAGGCTGTGCACGGGCAGCGCTCCATCTCAAATCGGTCGATCGGTCCAAACATACAGCAATGGGATCAGCGTGGTTGAGCGCGGCAAGATTGAGCAACCGGTTGAGCGTGGTGGCGTCTGTGACGGGATGCGCCCGATAAAGAAGCTTAAACATGGCTAGCCGATTTTGGCGGCAGGCAACAAACAGGGGTAGCTCGTCCATGTGGTCGCGGCGCGCAACAAGAGGCTGGTAGTCGCGCAGCTGCTTCCAGGACAGACCACGCGCCCAAGAAACCTCATGCTGCAGTAGCCAGCGCACAATGTCTTCACTGCCGCTGTGGGCCGCCATGTGCAGCAATGTGTGGTGCGGTGGCGATGCGGCGTACTTGTGCTCTGGCAAGCCTGGAGCAAAGATGGAATCCCACACAGGAATGGCTGTACAGAGTTGGAAAAAGAGCTCTGGATCACCGTGGCCTGCCACGCGCTCGAGGGCAGACATGGCCACAAAGCCTGGGTATGTCTGGCAGGGTCTGAGCAAGTCCGCTGGAGCCACCCCAGCCCAAAGCGCGGACGAGAGCGGTCCCCGGCCATCCAGGTCTTTGTGAAGCTGCTGAAGTCTGGCGGCTTGGCGTGCCGAGATCAACCGCCAGCAAAGCAATAAAACCAGTCCAAAAGTGATCCAGATGAGCGGTCCGACGCCAGTCAAGGCGACCCGCGTCGGCCACGGCATGCCAGCCGAGAGCGCAACTTGCCACGCAGCGGCCAGGAGCGGAACACCGCCTACAATCATACTGCGAGACCACATGCTACCCGGCGACGCGTATCAAACAGCCGACCTCGTCTTGAAAGAAAATGCCGCCCACGACGAGCTCTCACATGCTCTCACATGCTCCACATGCTCCACATGCCCAAGCGCCTGATCCTGAAACCTCAAACCGCAGCGTCGACACTTGAAAAAAGTGCTCGTCTAAAAATGATCAGTTCGCCAAAATTAGACCTTGTCATGCCAACACCGCCCCCTCTTTGTTGTGAGATGGGGTGGGGTGTTGCAACACTTAAATCTCTCTCTCTCAGAAATCTCTAAATCTCTAACTCGAAATCTCTAAATCTCTAACTCTCTCCTGTCTCTCGAAATCTCTCTCTCTCTCTAAATCTCTAAATCTTTCTCTCGAAATCTCTCTCTCTCTCTCTCTCTCTCTCTCTCTCTCTCTCTCTCTCTCTCTCTCTCTCTCTCTCTCTCTCTCTCTCTCTCTCTCTCTCTCTCTCTCTCTCTTTTTGCTTCACATCAACAACAGCAACGACGACATGATGCAGCAGCGGGCCATGCGCTTGCCCGGGATGGGGTTGGGCCTGGTTCTTGGCCTTCTTTGCCTGCTAGGGGTTCAGGCTCAGGCTGAATACACGGTGTTGATGGTGGAAAAGGCACCGCAACCGATCATCTCTTTTCTGCACAAGACGAGTGACTACCACCAGGTCTTCAACCCCTCTTGGCTGCCCGCTTCTGCGGGCACCGATGGCCGAGAAGGTCTCTTCATCCGCACCCAAGACTGCAATGCCACCGTTGGCACCTGCAGTGGCTGCAACGGCAACGGATCTAAAGCCAGTATCTTGACCTTTTCCGAGCGCTTTCCCAATGGTACACTCTCGCTCGCCGATCGCTGGCCGGCTCTCCTCTCGCACGCACACTCGCTCAACTGGCGACCATTGTTGTAGGCTCCTACTCGTATGTGCAGCTTTATAAATCAGTGGTCTTTGCACCCGATTCTCAACTCGAGGTTAGTGACCAGGCGCCCACAGATGGCGCACGTTGACTGGTTCCACTGTCACCGTGCTTCAGACATTCACAGCTCACTGCGCCTTAGATTTTCGGCACCGAGGATCCACGTATCTTCTTTGACGAAGCCGATGGCATCTATTATATGCTATACACGTGCTACGGTAGGCCAACCTCCAAGATTCGGTTTGCCCGTGGGTCTATTCTGCCGCACCCTCACCCATACCTGGCTGGCCCTGGCACACGTGCGCGCGTGTTGTTATTAGGAGAAACGGCGGCTGGACGCAGCGTCCTGCTCTGCTTGGCATCCAGCACCCGACCCCTTGAACACTGGGAGCGGCATGGGCCCGTGTTCCCTGACGCTCAGGTTGGACCATGTTGAGTCCTCTTCTCCCCACTCCTGCCCCCATGTCCACACACACGCGCGCGCCTTTTTTTTTCGGTTTTTTTTTTCTCATATCAAGTCCAATCTTGCAGGGCAGCAAGAGTGGGGCGCTCTTCCGGCCCCAGAAAGACCAGTACATGCTTTTGTGGGGTGATGGCCCGATCCACGTTGCCACGGCCGAGTAGGTCCAAGTGTCGTTCATCCAGCTTCTTGCCAACGTTGTTCCACGGTGGTTGGACCACTCTTCACACTGGCTCATCATTGGGCCTTATACTCGTCTTTGTCGATGAATGGACAGGACACCTCTGGGCTTGATCAATGCCTCATATGAAGCTTGGATTACGCCACGAGAGGACATGTTTGACGACCATGGTGTCGAGGCCGGCCCGCCACCCCTTCCTCTCTCCGATGGCAACTACATCTTCTTCTACAACTCTTGGGGTACTTCTGGAGGTGCGATCTGACTGGCACCTTGTGTTATTTTGTGCGCGTTGACACTCCCGGCTGTCTCGTTGCGCACCCAGAACGTACCATGCTGGCTAGTTACAGCTACTCACAGCTCATCAATGGGGCCCATTATATAGTCTACCAGCCGGCGTACGTGATCCTGAACGGTAGCAACCCCACACAGATTTTGCAACGACCGGACCAGCCCCTGACCAGCCCCACCACCCCGTGGGAACAGGGGCAGCCACCAGAGTTGTGCAACGTAGCCATGGTCACGTTTCTTGAGGGTGCCCGCGCGCTGGGTAACGACGTTTTTGAGGTCTTTTATGGTGGCTCTGATGCCGTTGTGGGTCGTGCCGTGGTCGCCGTGACCCTTCCACCCGCGTCTGAATAAGCTATCTTGCACGTTTTCGAATTCCAAGTCATGGATGTTAATAAAAAGAATGCCTCTCCCCCTTCCTCCCTTCCTCCATCGCGTTCAGCAAAACCTACCCTTCACATCCTCCCCCTCACGGGAAAAAAAAAAAAGAAAAGCGCGCACACATCCAGCACACACACGCACACACACGCACACACCAAAAATGCGTTACGAATGAGTTACACTCCATCGCTCGCTCCATCCATGTCAGCAAAAACCCAGTTTCGCTCCATTTTTA